AGGAAGAGGATCGAGGAGGAAGAGGAAGAAGGGGATCGAGGAGGAAGAGGAGGACAACGACACCGTCAGCAAGATCGCACTAGCGAGTTGCTAGCGAAAGACCCGTCGGTTAATCTTTCGTACATTGGCTATCGTTTAGTTGCGCACCTGCTTTCCTCCTGCGTCCCCACCACTCCGTCCGCTCAGGAGCAGCCTCGACTGCAGCCCACCCCCGCTCGTCTCCAGTATACGCACAGCTCAGCGCTCGTGCAAGTCTTGCCCACCTTCGCGCACCCTCCGCGTCCTCGACAGCGCAACATGCCTTGCACAACCTCGTTGCGAAGCCCTCCCAGACCGGCTCGTAGTACAGCTGTTCCGCCTCAAACAGGTCCATGTACATCTTGTCCACGCGGTTGACGTAGTCGTCCGGCATGTCGGGATCATCCGCCCATCGCTCGAGTGCGGCATCGCGTGTGGCATGGCCTGCATCCGCCCGTGCTATCAGGGCACGTCGGGTGTCGCTCTGGTCCAGGGTCGGTCCTGTACGAGAGCAGTATGCGCAGGCGCAGGCAAAGCCGTAGTCTGATAGCGCCTGCTGGCGAGACACTCGGGGGAGGGCGGGATCGATGTAGGAGATGAAGACTTGCGAACCGGCGGGGATGGGGAAGAGCGCGCGGACCTCGATGGAGAACGTGGCCAGGTCGAATCTGTACGCGGCGTTCGGGGAGCAGCTACGGTCCAAGACTTAGCAATCGCGAACGGGCCACCCGAGGGCACACTGACCTGTGGTTGATGCGGGAGATATCGTTGCATACTGCCGCGTATAGCTGAGTAGACCCCGGGAGCAGGCCTATGTGTAGAGCGTTCGTGTCGACGATCCCTTTCACCTTGGAGGGATCCTGAGGATGGCTGTTTGCGAGTCCGAAGAAAGCTTCGCATCGATCTGGCGGGAGTCGAACTAAGGCATCCTCTAGCTCCGGATAGGCACTCTCGGGCGGAAGATCTCGGTGGAAGGGAAGGAACTGGGGGTACACAACAAGTGGCCTTTCGCACATGATGCGTCCTCCGCGCTCGACATCTGTCGTTACGAAGACACCTTTTCCAGCGGAGACTGTGTCCGCTACGCGATACCGCGTGGAGTCGGCGGCATGCGAGCGGTGAAGGAAAGGAAATCCGTGCTTGTCCCGATGGTAGAGCATAACGACGCAGTCTTCTCCGGGTTCAAACGTCAGTATATCTAGTCGTCCCTCGTTGTTTGGGGGCGTGGCACTAGATAGGTCAAAGTCGACGGTCCTGCGGGGGTCTGGTATAGAAATTCTCCGTCCGCTCCCATCACTGGGCGCGCACATTCGCCTCGCGATACATTCGAAGTGAGGACTTCTTTCGGCGGCCATTCGAATGAAGTAACCACAACGTGCATTTACTGTATACCTAGGCATTGTGTAAGTGAGTATTTGTCTGCGATATCAAAACGTCGCTGACGTACTGCGTCGTCCGCTGGCAAATTATCCTGGAGCGTCGATCCGCCGTCGATCCGCAAACGTGTAGTCCTGGCTTGACTTAGAACTGGGGAGTAAGTACTTACATGCTTTGTAATGCCTCGATAAACAGGGCCAAATAACGCGGTTGTGGCTGGGCGTCTAGCTGGTCCTCGCCAAAACCACACAGCACGAACCTCAATAGTTCTGTCCACCTCATTAACGTTTATTTGTCCAGACTCGTTTGGACTCATAAGGGACCCTGACTCCGGATTTTCTTGACTCTGCCTGCGATACGCAGCACACAAGACGAGCAGCGCGGCGGATTGCATCGGCCAAGTCATATCATAGCTCTCTCACCGTCGTGAGTCAAAGAGCCAGAGTACTTGGATCAATCAATCTGACTTCGAATGAAACAGCCCCACTTGAGTTCTCATCGCGAAGAATGGACGCTTCTCGCACATCAAGCGTTGAACAAGATAACGAAGTTGTGCTCAACCTTTTCCGGGCGGCATGGTATGAATACTTCTCATGGGAGCCGTTGCACTGTTCAGAGAAGATTTCTTCCGTTCGAGCACATCATATTCTGGACAGAGATGCGCGTCTTGCGGTGCTTAACGCACTTGAGGACGATATACTGGCGAACACCGAAGAATCGGATGGCGCCAGGGACACCGACACTGCGCTCTCGTTTACATACTACGACCTGTCTAGCTCACACGAACCGGAACATAGACATATCCGCCCGGAGGTGGTCCCAGCTGCTGACACCCTCTCCGCTCCGTACCCAATCTACGAGTCGTGCACTCCTATCAACGCCAACATCCTCCACGGCGACGACCCGAACTACCTCCCATTCATCCCGTTTGCGGACGATGCAACATTCGACTACCGAGACTACGTGTATGACCACAAAGGCCTCGCCTGGCAGGAAGGGTATCGCGACTCCGACGGTGCGCAGGCACGGTTTCGAGTGGCGTCCAGTACTGAGCAACCACCGCAGTTCTCGCAATTGTGTTAGAGACAGCGAGAAGGCTACATCGTGATCACGGCATCTCAATGGAGGCCATCGATCGGACTGGTATCCTCCCGCTCACGCTGTGCACCACCTCTGTCTGGGGCGCTATATGGACGGAGAAGATGAGGTCAGATTCAGATGTTTCCTATGCCCTCTCAATGTCGTGAACGGTGCTCCTGACAGTGATTCAATACCATGGCCGGGCTCTTCGAGGGCTTCCGGACCGCCTCTTCCCGATGTCTCGCCACCCGCCGCGGACGACCTCAAGACACGACTCCAGGACTACATGACGCTATGGTGTCCTCGAATGGATTGTCTGCAGGGTCATTGCTTTACGCACGGTCAGTGTAACCTACTTGCCAGGGTGCTTAGTGAGGTTCACAGTCGGACATGCACTTAGCGACGGAGCAGTACCACCTTGACTTCGACACCCCCGCCGTTCCAGGTATAAGGCGATTCAAGCTGCTCTCAGCCAAGACCTCGTGCGGGGATGATTGCGCCGTTCAACACCGAGGGACCTCTGTAGTGCGTCCAGGGAGCGAATCAGTTGCATCCTTATTCACCTTGCACAGGACGAGGTGAAATGGAGCGGTGCTGAAATTGACGAGCTCAAGGTGATCTGTCACGTCGCGCCACCGACGACGCCTTGCAAGCTTTCCCGCTTATGTCTCAAGCCTTGTTTTGAGGTAATCGTCCTCGCGAACCCCTCTTCCTGTCTCCGAGTTGAGCGACCGCCTAGGTCGCCGTGATTGCTTCAAGCTTCTCTTTCAAGCGCAAGAAGACGAAAGCTACTGACTCGAAGCAAAGTATTCAGCCCTCGGACACCGCGCATCCGAGACACCTATACGGTGCGTTCCCCGTTCGATCCCCTATACGCGTACTGAAACATCTGCAGGATCGGAGCAACCTCCAGGGTTCATTCCGTGAGTGCGGAAATTCCGTACAAACCTCAACCATCTGAAACATCGTTTGCGCAGGAACAAGCCATGCAACCACCCAGGAATCTGCGTTCACAACTCTGATTGTGCATGCGCCGACAACGCAGCGCACTGTTCTCGCTCGTGCGCCTGCTCAACATTGTGTATGATTTATACCGACGTGAAGATGTCCGCTCTCGCTCACGATGCGCGTTCATGACAGGTGCAAGGAGATGGGAAGGGTGCAAGTGCACCGTCCTCCTCGTGAAGCAGAAACTGCACAAGCGCGGACCCCTACATGTGACGGTCAATCCCTGTTCGACGGACCTCTGCCCGTGTCGGAGAGCGAAGAGGGAGTGCGACCCCGAGGTCTGTGCGCCATGCCCGAAGGACTCGAACTGTAGGAACATGCAACTACAACGGGGAGTCCCCAAGGTATGGCTGCGTGACGCGATTGGGATGGTCCTTTCTCGCTCTAATACAGGACTTGCCGTTAGCTCGTGCAGGCCAAGCAGAGCAAACACGGCTTAGGCTTGTTTCTCGCCGAGACGGTAAACGCGGGAGACCTCATCATAGGTGCGCATCGTATCACCTATCGTCCCTCCTCTGATCCATTCACCGCTTCCAGAGTACGTTGGCGAGTTGATATACGAGGCTACCTTCCACTCTCGCAAGTGCGTCCCCACTACACCTGCGGTTTACCCTCCCGCACGCACTTTTTGACAGCCTGACACTGTCCGCAGTGAGCTGTCACGGCACCTGAGAAGGAACTACGTCTTTGGACTCAACGACCAGATATCCGTCGATAGCATACGAGCGGGCAACCCCGCGCGATTCATCAACCATGCCTCATCCCGGAGAGCGAACGTCGAGGTATTCAGTAAGTTTCTTTGCGAGTCTTCATTCGGTCTGAGACGTCCGAGTCCAACTGACCATGCACGATGTAGTCCTCTTGGTCAATGGCGAACAGAGAATCGGCGTCTACGCAAGTAAGCGTCAGCCGTGTAACGGGATGCTCAGCGCTGACTCGCGTTGTTGACACAGAGAAGCAGATGGCACCTGGGACCGAGCTGTTTCTTGACTATGGACCGGAGTTCCCGATCTCGGATGAGGAGAGGAGGTGATGACTACTGACGATTGGCAGGGTGCGGAGGAAATACCGCTTGCACAATGCATCAGTGTCGTGAGGTGCGATGGTCTTCATCCGGTGTACTTCTAGCGATCACTCTACATAGCGTGGTCGTCCTACTAGCGACTGTTATAGTCTGCCATAGGCATGCTCGCTTTCCCGAGCCAACATTACGCGGTCTGCCAGTGTCAGGCTTATACGTGGGTCATGAGTTTCAACGGAACTTGAGAGTCGCGGAGTAAGTATTATGCTTATACTTATACTCGTAGCCCAACGCAGCCCCAACTATGTATGATAATGTCCTGACAGTCATGAGCCAAGTTTGACCATATTGCACATTGGACTCCTATAGCTACTACGCCTCATAGTGTCTGACGTGTCCAAAAAATACAAAACGGAAAGGACATGTGGGCGAGATTTCACTGTGGTTCAGTGGTGTCCCCAAGACAAGGAAAATCAATGGAGTTTTCCCAATTCACTTCCCATTAGCCGACTCGAACGACTGACCTCGTCATCGAGGAAGCTTACTAGTGACGCGCTCTACCAACTGAGCTAAACGGGATTGTCTCACAGCACCTTGAGTGCCTTACAATCAGACGGTAATTAGCACTCATCTGGTGATTATGTAGCTCTGCTCAGTTCGTCTGCAATTCATTGTTCATCTCGTCGCTCGATTAGTTAGTTACCGTTCACTCCGAGGCTGGGTCTTTGCCTCCTCCAAGTCCTTGCGATCTCGTGGTAAGTGTGGTACTTGCTCAGGCAGGATCGATGATCTGACTGATTGCAGTCTAAGTACGTAGTGTGTACTCCACCCCCGGAGCACCACCGGACAACCTTACAGCTTGGAGCTGCTCCATTTGCAATGCTTAACCACCCCACACCAACGGATGGATATGAAACATACACCTCGAGATTACAGAAAGAAACCGAAGAGCTCATCAAGAAACACAGGCCACCACACGACACAGCGCAAATCGAACTGCAGAAGAAGTTGCACTTCGAGTTCCTCCTACGTAACTTGAGACAAGGATTCCCGGAGCGCTATACTTCTCAGGACGCGAGCCAGCCATGGCTCATATACTGGACACTTCATGGGTTCAGTATTCTCGGCGTCGGACTTGACGATCAGACCAAGAAACGGTGAGCCTCGGAAGTGCCATGCAAAACTACCGCTCATTCGTGTGTGATCAGAACGATAGACACATTACTGGCGATGCAACATCCCGAAGGCGGTTTCGCAGGCGGTCCTGGTCAAACCGCGCATCTGCTTCCCACTTACGCCGCCGTCTGCTCGTTCGCTGTTGTCGGACGTCCTGGAGACGGTGGAGGCTGGGATGCCATCGATCGGTACGGCACATGTACCCCAGGCTCCGTTCTGGTATATCTCATACCTCGGGGACTTACACAGGAAGAAGATGTACGACTTCTTCATGTCCTTGAAGCGACGCGATGGGTCTTTCCTCGTCAGTCATCACGGCGAAGTGGACGTCAGGCAAGTGGTTTACCTCGCTCCTCGTGCGGAGTCTCATTGCTCGGATGCACAGGGGGATCTATTGTCTGCTAGCAGTAGCGACGTTGCTAAATCTGCTAACGCCGGAGCTTCTCGCGGGCGTCCCCGAGTTTCTAGCCACCTGCCAAACCTACGAGGGCGGCTTCTGTAACGCTTCCTTCCCAGGTTGGGCCTTTGAGGCAGGTCAGTAAGCTTCGCTGGTAACCTGGATGCTATGTCTCTGATAGTGCATCACAGACGACCCAGAGACAGAGAGTGGCTCGCCCAAGACTTACGACCTCTCGGCGCCCCGTCCGCCGCTCGGTGAGGCGCACGGTGGGTACACGTTCTGCGCCGCCGCCTCCTGGGTGCTCCTGCAGCCTTACATCAAACTCTACTACTCCTCCGCCGGTGGCAGCTTGCCCCCTGTGCCCTCGATCAACACGCGGGCCCTGCTTCGCTGGTGCGTGCAGATGCAGGGACTCCCCATCGAGCTCGGGGGGTTCAAGGGCCGGACGAACAAGCTCGTGGATGGGTGCTACAGCTGGTGGGTCGGCGGGTGCGTCGTCCTCGCCGAGACGCTTCTAGGCGTCACGGCCACGCACGAGGCCGTGCCACACGAGCATCACGAGGAGAGCGACGAAGACGGACAGAAGTCGTGGGACGATGCTGATGGTAAGTGGCTGACGCATTCCCGACTTGTGCGTCGTGTTGACAATTTGATTTGCGTCGCATTCCTCTCCGCCGTCCGATCCTGACTGACGGGCTTCATCGTTGCATCAATTGCTGTTTGTAGATTCCCTATTCAACCGCAAAGCGTTGCAGGAGTACATTCTCTGCGCGGGGCAACACCCAGCAGGCGGTCTGCGAGACAAGCCGCCCAAGTAAGTCTACCTCCGCGCGGGACACTCGTTTTCCGCATGCCCGGAACAGCATGATGACGTTCTCGCCCTCAAGGCCTGCGGACGCGTACCACACGCTCTACTGCACGGCGGGCCTATCGGCCGCCCAGCATCGCGTCATCCCCTCCGAGGCGCGCGAGAAGGCTGTCATCTCCGCCTGGCACTCATCCCAGGCGCATGCTAAAGCCGGTATGTTTTCCCTCTCCTGCTGCGCTGTTCGCACCCCTTTGTGGGCGTTGACTGGACCATCTGCTGAAGAGTCGCGGCACCCAGGCACAGCGTACGCTCCGTCGTCAGACGCAGACCGTGAGATGCTGGATGAGTTGCGTAAGGGCATTTTCGCACACGCGATGTCCTGGTCCGAGGAGGATGGCACGGCCGTGTACGTCGGCGGCGCAGCCAATCGCGTGGTGGGTTTCAGTGATCCTCATGCTGGCGACGGACCGAAGGTTGCTCATGGTTCTCTCCCCGACTGGTGAATAGAACGCTACCCACCCGTTGTTCAATCTAACCGTAACCCACTCGGACGGGATGCTGTCCTACTTCTACGGCCAGACTCCCCCGTCACGGTATGCGAACAAACCGGCAACTAAATGACCGGAACTCTGGAGAGACGATACGAGGATCCCACACTCCTGGATCAAATCAACCGGCCTTCCAATCGATGGTGTTATACGTATGCGTCTCGTAAGACGTAAGAGGCAGGGCAGAGGAGCTTGTGTAGGCTGTGCGGAATCTGATGGATTACAGCTCATTGTATACATAGCAGGCATGGTGGAACCAATACAGGAAGCGACTACACACGAGTGACGCAGAATCGTCCGTCCGAGGCCGGGGTTACGCCCACTGGAGCACTCATCCCTTGAGACTCCGTGCGCGGGTAGCTCACGCAGCGCGCCACGCTGCCCTGCATGTCGCCAAATTAGACACCGCGGGGCCCGAGAAGCCAACGCGCTGCCACCCGGCTAATTAGCTAGCTTCGCGAGGAAGCGTCTGCAGTGATGGTCACTGCAGTGATGGTCATATCTACCCATTCGGTTTCGAAGGCATCACGGTGGCGAACGGAATAAACGTGGCTCGCACGCAGCACGAATGGCGGGCACAGTGCCGATACTCGGGACCTGAAATTGCAGTTGTTGAGCCATGCCACAGCGCGCGGTATCGTGTCACGGAAAACGGTTGGTGTATCAAGACGGCGACCGTGGGTGCTCATGAGGCCACAGATGGCTACAGAACAGCGACTGTGACGCATTCCATGCGGCATAAGGCAAGAACAAGTAGAAAACTAGCATGCAGTCGGGGAAGACCAATGACCCGCCGCTGACGTGTGAAGACGACGGTTTGTGGGCGCACTGATCCGATGGATACTTCTTCTGGCGTCCGCGGAACATGTTGGGAGACTATGATACAGTGGTACTGTCGCAGCAGCTGGTCTATACAATGGAGGGAGTCAGCCGGTGTACTTAGTAGGACGGCGCGAACACGACTTTGTTGGACGGGCCTGGCAGCGAAAGTCATTAAATGAAGCAAATATAGCATGCGGGAGATAGCGCGGACGACGTCGCTGGGTCGTCTCGCGATGACCTGGACACCAACTGTCACCATGGCCCGTCGGCAGCTTCTAGAGGATGCCAAGGCAAAGGACTCACGTTGTAAGTAGTAAGCAAGGAGGCCGTGAACGACCATGAGTGAAGTCTGACGAGAGACGCGAGCCAGGGAGAGACACCTTATGGCGTCCTGCCTGTGCGACCTCGCAAGTCCTGGACCTCCTGCTCCAACCAGTTCAGCTTCTGCCTGTCCTCCTTCCGCGACACCTCCAGCTCCATCATCTGCCTCTCCAGCGCCTCGATATGGGCCTTCTCTTCCATCCTCGCCTTCGTCGCGATGGGCAGCATCCTCGAGACCTCGTTCCAACGCACGTGGTTGTTCGACATCTCCGCACGCAAGCACACGGGGACGAGCGCATGCTCCATCGCGATGTCAAACGCATCTGGCCACCGTAGTCCGAAGACAATCGTGCACCCGAGCGGAAGAATCTGGCTGAGGAAGAGCGTGACAGGCTCGGACTTCGTGATCGCGGAGAGTCCGACGGCAAGGGTCTCGAGGCGTCGGAACCGGGGTAGGCTCTGGGAGCGGGGAGTGGGAGCAAGGTTCGGGATCGTGCGCGCGTCCACATGAAGACCGAGGTGACGGATATTGGGGCAGTAGCGGGCGAAGGACAGGAGGACGTGCAGGTTCAGTCCGGGCACATCGGGTTCAGGTACGGGCTCTGGATTGAACTGCAAGCTCTCCAGAGAAGGCCAGCTGCTCGCGTATTCTTCCATGTCTTCGTCGCTGATAGCAAGCGCGTAGTCCCATCGAAACTCGAACGTTCGAAGGCATCGCGCCGAGAAGAGCGGCCGAAACGTCGCGATGTTCGGACGCTCGTGAAGAGGAGGTGGGGGAGAGGTGAGTCGAGCATCCGGTGCGATGATGTAGTCGACGGACAGTTGGACAAGTGACGTGCATCTGTCGCGAATGGCGGAGAACAGATCTTGCAGCGCATGCGGAGTTGCAATGACGATGGCTTTTAAGTGCAGTTCCGTAAGCTGCGCGGGAAAGAAGGACGAGCGGAGGAGCTGCGTGGCATGCTCAACCTGAGCACTGAAGGACAGATTACGGAGGGCTGGGAATGCGTTGTTGGCGATGGCAGGGAAGAAGTGAGCAACGTCGGCGCGGTTTCCCGGCTCAGCGCGGGCGGGATGGGTGAGGTTGATTGTCGCGACCTGATTGAGTCGCGACAACTCCGTGAGAAGTCGAGGTGTGAGACCGTATATTGGCACCGATACACCCTGTAGGTGGGGAAGTCCGCGGAGAAGAACGACGGCATAATCTTCGAAGTTACCCATGTGCTCCTCAAGACAGAGGTCCAGGTTCGTGATGGCAGGGCATCGTGCGCATATTTGACTGATGAAGTCTGTGAGGGAAGGGGGTTCGGATCGATATAGATGGAGGCCAAGATGTTTTACGCGCCGATGCAGAAAGACAAGGCAGAGACGCTGCCTCTCCGGAGCAGACGGGTACCATATAAGTGACTGGAGGTTCGGGAATATGTCTGACGTTGTACATGTCGCTGCCAGTTCATCGAACACCTTCGAATGTATCAGTGCTGGACGTTTCGCCGACCTGTCC